CCCCCCGCACTTTACAAAAAACATTCCGTACAGCCAAGCATTGCGCATGAGACGCATTTGTTCTTCGGATTTAGATTTTCAGAATCGAACAGAAGAACTATCCGGACATCTCCGGAATAGAAATTATCATCGAGGACCCATTGAAAATGCTATAAAAAAAGCTGATTAAAAGGCAAAATACTGGAAAACAACAATGCTGTGGGAAACAATGGCTGGATCTCAGTAGAGATACAAAAATGATAAGCAACAGCTAAAAAGTAAACGTAAGTAAACAGCCAGAAATAGAACCAGAGCTTTCGGACAACACTAGTCCTTCCTCAGTGGCGAGTGAGTGAGGGTTGAAAAAGCCAGATAGTATAAAGTGAGAATTTCATGCAATTTCATGGTTTTAAGTAAAAGTTCCCAGTGATTCTCTTTGTCTTTGCGATTTTTGTCGCTCCAATTGGCATTATGGTCAATTGCAATCACTCTGAAATTTGAAATTGAATGACCAGCTAAATTGAAATGTTCGGCTACTGGTTGATCAAGCTTAGATGCTCCCCAACACAATTAGGAAGGTTCCCCGATTCGACCAACCAATTAGAGTTGCCAACAGCTGTCGGTGATAGCATGTAGCTGTCTCTTATACACAATATGAGATAAATGACATTTTTGGTGAGGCAATTAATTGATTGCCTTATCCGAAATATGTGGTCTGTTTGGTTGCTCTTGAATGATTGTGTAGAATCAAGCAAGGAGCATGTTTTGCATGATGAACCGCAAAGATGACTACCCAAATTATGGTTGTCGCAAGAGTTAATTTGCCTCTTGAATTTAGATCGTACTAATATATCACGAAGGTTAGGTGGTCTGCGATAGGCTATGAACGGTGTATCCGGAAAAACAGACCTAAGACGTTCTGTGGTCTGTAGAATGGGCATATGTTTCTGAATTATAGCCCTTAGTGGTGGTAACCTAGGGTGATAGGTAGTGACCAGTGGCACACTGGTCGATTGCTGACGTGGTTTTACGTCAGTGTTTGAGCACGAGGTATGTCCTTTGCTTTTTTCACAGCATTTTCGATGGGTCCTCGATGATAATTTCTATTCCGGAGATGTCCGGATAGCTCTTCTGTACGATTCTGAAAATCTAAATCCGAAGAACAAATGCGTCTCATGCGCAATGCTTGACTGTACGGAATGTTTTTTGTACAGTGTGGGGGGTGACAGCTGCTAGGGAGCAGGTACATATGCTTATCCGTGGGTTTAGGGAGATCAGTTTTGAGTGCACCATTTTCCATGGATACGGTGATGTCCAAAAAATCTACACTGCTTGTGGATTTGTTAGCAGTGAATTTGATTGTGGGATGAGCCGAATTAATGTTCAATAGGAACGTATCCAAACTATCTTCACCATGGGTCCAGATCATGAAGATATCGGGTCATTCCATGTCAAATCACCCAATGGATTTAACCACATATTTTTTGATTTTGATGAAACTTGGTGTACTTGTTTAGTGTGATCTCGCAGCACGAAATCTCAAATTTTAGGTCAATCGGTTGAGGGG